ATATTTCAAAAGTATGAAGCTTTGAAAAATTCTGCATAGAAGCATTAATGTCCTTGAAGAGCTGAACATTTTGATACCTGAAATACCTGAAAGTATGCTTAAGTAGAATTTCCCCATTCATTTGAAAGGGGCAAGATTTTCAGAATAAAGCTAAATATTTCAAAAGTATGAAGCTTTGAAAAATTCTGCATAGAAGCATTAATGTCCTTGAAGAGCTGAACATTTTGATACCCAAAATAGGTGAAGGTATGCTGAAGTAGAATTTTCCCATTCATTTGAATGGTGCAAAAGTTTCAAAATAAAGCTAAATATTTCTAAAGTATGAAGTTTAGAAAAATTCTGAAGAGAAGCCTGAATGTACTTGGAGAGCTGAACATTTTGATACCCAAAATAGCTGAAAGTATGCTAAGTGTAGAATTTCCCCCTTCATTTGAATGGGGCCAAATTTTCAATATAAAGATAAATATTTCTAAATTAAGAAGTTTAGAAAACTTCTGAATAGCAGGATGGATGTCCATGAGGAGCTGAATATTTTGATACCTGAAAATATGCTGAAGTAGAATTTTCCCATTCATTTGAATGGTGCAAAAGTTTCAAAATAAAGCTAAATATTTCTAAAGTATGAAGTTTAGAAAAATTCTGAAGAGAAGCCTGAATGTACTTGGAGAGCTGAACATTTTGATACCCAAAATAGCTGAAAGTATGCTAAGTGTAGAATTTCCCCATGCATTTGAATGGGGCACGATTTTCAGAAGAAAGCTAAATATTGTAAAAGTATGAAGTGTTAGAAATTAATAAATCTGTCAGATAATTATTAGACATTACTGTGTTAGAATTTAATGTTATTAATGCAGTTTAGTAAGATTCAAAGTCTGCTCCTGTGTGCTCTGCTTCAAGGTTAGAAGATAATGTTGACTCTAAGAAGGGTACCTTGACAACAGTTATTTTTGTATTAATCTTGTGTAAGAATTATGTCTGCCCCTCCTTGAACCGCCACCTTATTGTGGTGGAGGGGTTTTAGTACCCGAGTGATCCTAGGAGCTATGTTGTCGGGGTCTATATGCCCCTGGTAGGGTCTCCCAAGGCAAACAGGTCCTAGGTGACGGGTCAGACTAAGAGTGGTTCAAGAGCTTCTTATGAAAAAATAAAAATCAGGGACCGTGACATCACCCAGTATGGGGCCCAGCTGGGCTTAGCTCGAACAAGCGATGTGGGGACATCCTCCCATGGGCCCACCACCTGCAGGAGGATCCATAATGGGGTTGGTGCACAGTGGATCGGGCAGTGGTCGAAGGCAAGGGGCCCGGTGACCCGATCTCTGGACATGGAGACTAGCCCTGGGGACATGGAATGTCACCTCACTGGTGGGGAAGGAGCACAAGCTTTTGCAGGAGATTGAGAGGTACCAGCTAGAGATAGTCTGGCTCGCCTCCACATACAGCTTGGGCTCTGGAACTTTACTCCTCAACAGAGGCTGAACTCCCCACTACTCTGGAGTTGCCCGCAGTGAGAGGCGGCAGGCTGGTGTGGGCTTGCCTATAGCCCCCCAGCTTAGCCGCCATGTGTTGGAGTTTACCTTGGTGAACGAGAGGGTCGTTTCCCTGTGCCTTCAGGTCGGGGATAGGTCTCTCACTGTCATTTGTGCCTATGGGCTGAATGGTGGCCAGCCTTCTTGGAGGGGTGCTGGAAAGCGCTTTAACTGGGGACTCTGTCGTTCTACTGGGTGACTTCAATACTCACATGGCTGATTACAGTGACACCTGGAGGGGCGTGATTGGGAGGAATGCCTACCCTAATCTGAACCCAAGATGTGTTCTGTTATTAGACTTCTGTGCTAGTCATAGTTTGTCCATAATGAACACCATGTTCAAGCATAAGGGTGTTCACCAGTGCTTGTGGCACAAGGACACCCTAGGCCGGAGGTCGATAATTGACTCTGTGGTTGTTTCATCTGACCTCCAGCCATATGTCTTGGATACTCCGGGG